ACCGTCTCTGGTCTGTACAAACTGCTATATACCACACACCAACACTGAACACCACACCTTCTCTTTCTCGGCTCTCATAGTCATACTTTCAGAGTCCTAGACCACGCCCCTTTCTGTGCCACAGATGAAAGGCCATTACCAGCTGGCAACAGCCACGCTCCACATAAGACAATTATCAGCTGTGGACAAACTATAGCCCAACTAAAATCCCACACTTAGGATTAAAACAAATGCATATTTACATAACATACAAAGAAACCAAAACTTCCATTACATATTATATATAAATATATATACAATATACATATATTTATACACACATATATACACATATATGTATATACATACATATATATGTGTATAATGTATATATATACATTATACACACACACATATATATATACATATATATATGTATATGTATACACACACACACAGGGTTGTATAAGAATGTTTTTGGTCAGTGGAAATTTGTTGTTGTTGTTGTTTTGGTTTTTTTCAAGAATGGGTTTCTCTGTGTAGCCCTGGCTGTCCTGGAACTCACTCTGTAGACTAGGCTGGCCTCAAACTCAGAGACCTGCCTACCTCTGCCTCCTGAGTGCTGAGATTAAAGGCATGTGCCACTGACACTCTGCTATGAGCAGAAAAGGTTTAAGCAGCCTTGGTATACGTTGTGGGTGTAAACATTTTATTGTTGTTGTTTTGTTTTAATCCCAGGAGTAGGATATGGAGCTGATTCAGATTGTTCACAGTGGCAAACTATTTGCCTGGTGCAGGCTCTGAGAGGAGCTCTTTGCCAGCTGCCAGTTTAAATCTGAAGACTCTGGAGAGAGAATAAATGCCAGAACCCAGAGAGTGTTGGGGAGCTCTGAGAAAGAAAAAGGCTGCTGCTTCTTCCCCCTTGCTGCGCCTGGTTGTTAGTTGTGAGACAAGAAGTTGGAGATCTGGGGCTGGAGAGATGGCTCAGTGGTTAAGAGCACCGTCTGTTCTTTCAAGAGACCCAGTTTCAATTTCCAGCACCCACATGGCAGCTTACAACTGTCTGTAACGCCAATTCCAAGGGCTCTGACACCTTCACACTAATGCACATAAAAAATTAAGTTATTAAAAAAAAAAAGAACTTGGAGATCTCCTAAAACAAGTATTGGACTGGCTCCAAGGATCCTGATGACCCTGACCAGCAGGAAGCAGCTAAGAGAACTGTACGCACTCTCTCACTAACTCTTTCTATCTCCTACCTGGTGTTGGGGTATTGGAAGGAATTGAGGTGGAGTAGGGAGAAAGGGATATAAGAAATGTAAATAAAAGTTTTTAACAAGTATGCCAACAGATATAAGGTATTTGCAGCCTTTAAGCTAGCACTCCCGATGAAACAGTATTATTTCTCAAGCAGGTGCCACTTGCAAACGCCAACAATATCATCACTGGACCCAGGTCCTGAAAGATGGACAGAGGTGAGTTAAGGCACTGCATCTGAGCCCTTTGCTGGTATTTTGGTTTAGTTACGACTCTCCCTTGAGATGTGCCCAGCCAGGACAGAACACCAGGTCCTAAAGCATCTCAGAGATCACATTAATGGTCATATGCCAGCTCAGGAGGCTCTGGTGATGAGGTCTTAGGACACTAAGCAGGTGCCTCTAGGCACCCTGGCCTCACTGGCCATTTAGCAGAGACAAGATGTCTTCTCTCCTCTGGCCTCTCTATTGAACTTTTCACTTATCCATTTGATCTGTGCAGGATAAACCTGCATTGTTGCCTATCAGTGAATAAGAAATGCTTAAACAGTATTTGAGGATACAGAGACAAGACCCCTGGGGTCTACAATTGGAGAGATCCTGAAGTAAATAAGTAGGTAACATGAGCTTTCTTCAAAAGCCCCCCTTTATAGCTCATGAGTTGTGGCTCATGAAAACTAAAGCAGGAGGACTTCAATCTGAAGCCCAGCTGCACTACATAATGAGACCCTGCCACAAAGTTCCCGTTACAGGGCTGGTGAGATCGACAAGCCCAACTTGAGTTTGCTCCTTAGGACGCACATGATCACATACCAAGAGAGAACTGACTCCTACAAGTTGTCCTCTGACCTCCATGGCAAAACAAAACAAAACAAAACAAAACAACACATAAAAATGGGTAACTTTAAAGAAAATCTCCAGTATAGACTAGATGTGTTTTAGGTAAAAGATGGTGAGATGGGAAAAAAGAGAGAATTGATAAATGATCACCAGAAGCAATTTGCTTTCAGTTGGCAAGGCCAGTAATATACCTTTACATTTTTCCCTCAAGGATATGCTAACTCTTCTGCCCTGTCTCATAACTTAGTTAGAAGAGACCTTGATTGTCTGTCTCTTCCACAAAATATTACACTGGTACACTATATTGATGCTACTATCTTGATTGGAGCAAGTGACCAGGAGGTAGCAACCACTTTGAACTTATTGGCAAGACGTGTATCAGAGGATGAGAAATAAATCCAACCAAAATTCAAGGAGCATCTATCTCAGTGAAATCCTTAGGAGTCCAGTACATGGCTCCTCTCACCACCAAGAAAGAAGCACAAAGTTTAGTGGCCTATTTGAATTCTGGAGACAGTACATTCCTCACTTGGGTGTGTTACTCCAGACATATAACAAGTGACTCAGAAAACTGCTAGCTTTGTGTGAGGCCTGTAATAGATGACTCTTCAACAGATCCAGCAGACCTAATGGTATCGGTCCTCCTCCCAAGGGTCCAGCCCACCAGTGAGGACAGGGGGTTCAGGCTGAGGGGGTGAGAGGCGTGGAGTCACTACACAGACCCCGGGAGTCGGGTGAATGAAAACTGAGGGTGAGTGCCTGTAGACACATTTATTCCAGAAGAGAGAGAGCAGGATTTATAGTTTTGGGCAACCAATCAGGTTCTTCCACACCATCTTCAAACCTGCCATATTTTATTCTTCTCTGGGCAGGCTCTCCAAGTCAGGTCACATACTTTCTGCCAGACTACTTCTGTAGTCATATCAGTGGAAGTTGCCCCAGCCTGTGAGCCCTGACAGCCCTTTGCCAGGAATACCCACACAAAATGGTAGTTGAGGTGTCAGTAGCAGGTAGGGATGCTTTTTAGAGCCTTTGACAGACCCCTATAGGTGAATCACAGAAGTTTTGCTGATGGTTCTGCACATTATGCAGGCACTACCCAGAAGTCAACAGCTGCAGCACTACAGCCCCTTTTGGGGACAACCCTGAAGATACTGACGAAGGGAAATCTTCACAGTGAGTAGAACTTTGGACAGTACATGTGTTATTACAGTTTGTTTGCAAGGAGAACTAGCCAGACGTACAACTGTTCGCTGATTCATGGACTACAGCCAATAGGTTGACTGGATGGTCAGACACTTGGAAAGCACATGATAGAAAAATTGGTGAAAAAGACATGTGGAAAAGAAGTATGTGGAGTATGTGGGCAGATCTCTCCAAATGGGCAAAGGCTGTGAAGATACTTGTGTCCCATATAAATGCTCATCAAAAGGCAACTTAAGCCAAGGAGGAGTTCAATAACCAGTAGACAGGATGATGTATTCTGTAGACAGTCAGTCTCTTTGCCTGGCCATCTCTGCCATTGCCTACTAGTCCTGTGAACAAAGTGGCCATGGTGGCAGAGATGGGGGGTTATGCAATAACCTGGACTTCTACTCACCAAGGCTGACAAGGCTATAGCTGCTGCTGGGTGTCAAATCTGCCAACAGCAGAGACCAAAACTGAGTGCCAGATATAGCACTAGTCTCCAAGGTGACCAGCCAGCAACCTGGTGGCCAGTTAACTACACTGGACCACTTCTTCCATGTAAAGGAGATCATTTTGTCCTTTCTGGAATAAATACTTGTGACCAAAATCAAACAAAAGCTGTAAAGCTCCTTCAGAAAAACAACTCTATAGATAACAGAAAACAATCACTGTTTTCTACAATAATTCATTTAAGACCAAAGTACATCTAGAAAACAACTATCCATTCTGGTGTTTACCCTGGATATAATGATTCTACCAGGATTCCACTACAGCTATGCAGGGTCTACTCACACTTTAGCACATTTTCTCTTTAGGACAGGACCTTCGGCGTTTGTTTAAATTTATCAGAAACAAAAATACACAATGGAACAGGAGAACATCACAGACCTTAGACCAAAAGTGGCCTGATACTGGAACAGATGCCATAGTGAAAGCTGATAATCATGCAGCTTGAGGACTGTGGGCAATGGTTTTTAAACTCTACTTTTTTGGGGTTCCTAAAGCCTCTACGTACATTCCAATCCCCGAAACATAGGTAGGAGAGAAAGAGGATTAGAGGAGAAAGGGGACATAGACCTTTTTACTTCTACCGGCTGGGTAGGGTCATCAGGTTTTTTGGGGGAACAATAACAGTTTCAGTTATCAGGATATCCAGTAGTCCAGCAACAGCAAACCGATAAATGTAGCAAAAGATCTTCTTCCTTTGAAGCGCTTTCTCTGTCTGTCTCCTCCAAGCTGTCATGGGTTCTCTCACTGGGCTTTCCTATTTATACTCTCAGAGTTCTCAGAATTAAATTATCTCAATCTGGCAAAGTCCATGGCACTCTCTGAGGCAATTATCAGCTGTGGACAAACTAAGGCAGTCCAATTTCCCACACTTGGGATTAAAACAAAAACCTACTTATATAAATAACATAACTTACATTTTGTTTTTTGGGGTTTTGTTATTGTTGTTGTTTTCAAGACAGGGTTTCTCTGTGTAGCCTTGACTGTCTTGGAACTCACTATGTAGACTAGGCTGGTCTCGAACTCACAGAGATCCAACTCCCTCTACCTCCCTGAGCACTGGGATCAAAGGCATGCGCCAACATGCCTGGCTCACATTGGTATTTTCTTTTTGCAATTTATATATTTTTTTATTTTTATTAATTACAGTTTATTTACTTTGTATCCCAGCTGTAGCCCCATCCCCTCCCAATACTTCCCTGCCTCTTCTTCTCCTATGCCCCTCAACACATGGGTATTTTCAACAGCCTGTTTATAGAAGTGGCCTATGAACACTATTCTGAAGCACCAGTGGCCAACCTGCCCATGCCCTTCAATGTGATTATTAACATGGTCAGCATGCTCCTGGGAGTGTACTGGCTATGAAGAAATGCCAGTGCCCCAGGATGCCCTATAGAGCTGCAGAGAGTTCATTACCTGAAGCATATCTTTGCCAAGCACAGCCTTGGTCTGTAACCCTGTTCAGTGGCTGTGGGTCTGCATCCAGACACAGCCCACTGCCATGCTCAAACAGTGGCTTACTTTGCTCACTTTTGCATGGCCAGGGGCCTAGTGCTTCTGTGTTGAATGTATCTATCAAGTTACAACCTTGAGAACAAGATACAAGAGTTTGAGGTGGCATTGGATGCTCATGTAGTAGCAGCGATTAAAGAGGCTTTGTGCACACACAAGCAGAACAGTAATATCTCCACAGCCACCTACTTAGCTTTAGGCTTGGTCTCTTTCTTGGGCTTTGAAGTCCTCTACAGTGGAAGTTTTGGTTTCTTTTAAAATGTGGTTATGTTGCCAGGTGTGGTGGTGCACACCTGTGATCCCAGCACCCAGGGAGTGCTTGAACTCAGAGATCCCCCTACGTCTGCCTCCTGAGTGCTAGGGTTGAAGGCATGTACCACCACTGCCTGGTTAAAGGCATACTTACTTAACTTAAAAATTTTATTCAATATGTGTGTGTATGTGTGTATTCTCATGTGTACACAGACATGTAGAGGCCAAAGGAACAACTTGCAGAAGTCAGTTCTCTCCTTCCATTGAGTGGGTGTTGAGATACATTTAATTCAGGTCATCAAGGCTTGGTTGGCAAGCACTTTTACTTGCTAAATCATAAATCATCTCAGAGGTCATTAGTTTTTTATTTTTTGAGACAGGGTCTCACTGTGTATCCCAGATTGGCCTGAGACTAAATATGTAGACCAGACTGGCCTCAATGTTACAGAAGTCCATCTGCCTTTGTTTCAAATTCTGAGATTAAAGAGGTGTACCACCACACCCTGCTAGGTCCTTGTTTTTTGTTTTTAATCTTTTATTATTCTTTGACACTTTCATACACATATAGTGTATCCAAGTCCACAGGTCCTTGCTTTTTTTTTGGAGGGGGGGGTTCACATTGTAGCTCAAGTTGATTTAATAAAAACATACTCCTGCCTCTACCTGCCAAGTGTTGGGATTAGAGGCATTTCCCACCACACCCAGAGAGAAATGTATTAACATTGAAGGGAGAATAAGCTCAGCTCAATGCTCTGAAAGGACACACAAGCAATCACAGCCAAGAGGTGGCAGAAATGAGGGAGGAGGGGACACAAGAATAGGCCTTAAGTTCTCTGTACTCTAATGCCAAGCTATGTGCCTTCCAGCCCTGGCTTTTTTTCTCAGCCACAAGACCAGAACCAATTTGCTCACCTATAAAATATGGAAATTGGCTAGGTGGTAGTGGAGCACACCTTTAATCCCAGCACTTAGGAGTCAGAAACAGTTGGATATCTGTAAGTTCGAGGCCAGCTTGGTCTACAGAATGAGTTCCAGTATAGCCAAAGCTACACAGAAAAACCCTGTCTCGAAAAAACGTTTAAAAAAAGGTGGAAATTGTCAGCTCTTTCTTGAAGTCTGCACCCATGTCTCCAGTTCATAGTATTCTCTCTCTCTCTCTTTCTTTTTTTCCTTGAAACAGGGTTTCCTTTTGTAGTCCAGGCTGTCCTAGAACTCAATTTATAATCCAGGCTGGGCCCAAAAGGCTGATAATCTGTTTGTCTTAACTTGTGTCCTTCTGAGATTACAAGCATGACCTACCACACCCAGGTTTTTAAATTTAATACACACACACACACACACACACACACACACACACACGTATGTATGTATGTATGTATGTATGTGTGTGTGTATATATATATACACACATACATATATATATAAGTGTATACATATATACATACATATATATACTTGTGTATATATATATATATATATATATATACACACACACACACTTTTTTTAGTATTTATTTTTTGAGACAATCTCACAATATAGCCCAGGCTACATGCTTCAAACTTGCAGCAGTCTTCCTCTCTCAGCTTCCTGAGTGCTGGAATTCACATATGCTATACTCAGCTTATTACTGTTCTTTTCTCAACAGTCACAGTGCTACCTCCTCCACCCTTGGGCCTCAACTCTGCAGTTCATACTATCTCTAATCTATTTAACAAACTCTCAACTTGGCCTGGAGAGATGGCTTGGTGGTTAAGATCAGTGACTGCTGTTCCAGAGGATCTGAGTTTGACTCTTGGCACCTATATGGAAGCTCACAACCAGCTATAACCCCAGTTCCAGGGGATCTGATGCCGTCTTCTGACTTGTGAAGACACTCTATGTGTGCCATGCATGGGCATACATTCAGGTGAAACAGCTATACACATAAATTAAAAATAAATAAATTTCAAAGGCAAACAAACAAAACCAAAAGCATAGCAGATGGACCTCTGTGAGTTTGAGGTCAGCATGGTGTACATAGTGAGTTCTAGGACAGCCTGGGCTGCACAGAGAAACCCTATCTCAAAACAAAACAACCCCCCACGAAAAGTGTTGTACACTTGATGGGAGACATAGAGAGGCAGGAAGATCTCTGTAAGTTCAAGGCCAGCCTGTCTGATCTATGAAGCAAGTCCAGGATAGCCAGGACTACAAAGAGAAACCCTGTCTCAGAGAAAAAAAAAAAGTGTAGCCTCATGGCTCATATCTGTAATCCCAGATGATTGAGAAGCTGAGATAGGAGGATTGAAAGTTTAAGAAAAACCTGCCTGAATAAAACCCTGACTCAAAAAGTTGAAAAATAAATAAATAAAAAGGCTGGAGATAGAACATCTCTCCCATGTCTCTCTAAACTGCCACACCATCCATCTCAGGTCTCTCCAAATTGCCACACTTTCTCTTTCTTTGATTTCTTATTTATATCCCTCAGAGCCTTAGACCACACCCCTTGCCATGCTGTGTGAGGCAGGCCTTTACCAACTGGCAAAGACCATGCCCTGCAGGAGGCAATTATCAGCTCTGGACAAACTAAAGCCCAGACTAAAATCCCACACTTGAGATTAAAACAAAAACATGTTTACATAACATAACTGATTTTTTTTTAAAGGAACCAAAACTTCCACTACACCTGTCTTGCTTACCAGCCCCATCCTCTTGCCCTAACCTTCTAAGTCCTGGAATTACAAGGCATGAGCAAGTACTGTTTAGTTTCAATGCTGAATGTTCAACTTCCTTCCCGAAGTTTAGGGTAGGGCACAGTTGACTTCTACTCTCCTCCCTTATCTTTTCACCAGACCCATCTACCCTTTGGTTTTTCAGATGTCCTGGAGTCCCCTGGATCCTGGAGATATGGCTGCTGGGCTTAATGAGGCTTGCTTTTTTTTTTTTTAATATCTATTGCTAAGAAGGACCACCAAGTCTAGAATATATGGGTCCCACTGCTCTTTCAAGCTCGTTACCACTTCAGGAAACTGAAGCTTTCATCCTGAATTTACTTCCATGTCTGGGGGCCACATCTGCTCTTAGATTCTCACCTCCAGGCCAGGGTTAACATGGTTTGTATCCTGAGGCCCTAAATCTTTCTTAAATACCCTTGGACCTCATCATATCCTTTCTAGCCGACCTTTTGGTTAGAGTCAAAATGCCATCCACATGTATCCTTGAAGAAGCTTTAGCAGGGACACAAGCTGAGTCCTCACCTGGTGTCTCTGCATCCTTCCCTATACCCATATGTTGCTCCATGGTACCTATGTTATCCTGACTCTTCTATCTTCCAGCCAGCAGAATGGTTAACTGGTGATAGGAGTCAGATCCTGTCAACTGAATAAAGGAGGACATCTAAGAAGGGTATAGATGAAGCAACCCTTCTTACAATGGGATCAGAGTCTACCTGAGTCCAAGATGAAAGTCACATACAATTAAACCAACTGCCTAAGTCTCCCACGAAAACCACACTGGATACTTTGAACAACTAGTCTTTGTATCCTTGAACCACTATGGCCTTTGTTCCAGAACAAACAGCTCTTCAGAGCTTCCCCATAGCAACTGACCAAGAAGGTTCTTAGCATTGATTCTTAGGCCTTGGATATTTTGGGAACATCCTGCAAAGTGTGACAATGTATCTTGCCTCCACTTCCTCTCCTGTTCTACAGGAACTGGCTATGTAGCAGACATTGGCTTCAAATTTTCACCACTATGTCCAGCTAAGTATAACAACTTCCCAGCTATGAGCATCCTTCATAAAATATGTTCCTTACACTTGCCTTTCTCTTGTGGCTGTATGTATTTAAGTAGCAACCACTGTCACCTCTAGGCAGTGGAACAGAGGTGGCTTTTTGGCTTGCAGCATTTATGAGAACATTTTGTTGTGCCCCATGACTAGCCAATGTGATCTTTCTGCAGATATGAAGGCATAGCATGGGTCCCTCCTAGATTTGGATAACCTTGGCCACATACAAGCCCACAGACTCCAGAGGAAACAGTAGTTTCTGAATTTGAGAGCAAAACATGCTGAATTCAGTCAAGCCCCTGGAAGACCAGCAGCTCAGCTCCCTTATTTTATAGGGAAGACTTGGGGCTATAAAGGAGAATGGCCCGAGGTGTTGCTGGCGGGCCTGGGAGTTCCTGACTTTACCTTCCTCTCTTGCCCCGCCTCCAACTTCCCACCGTGGCGAGGTTCTGACCTTCTGCTGAGTGCTCTGGCCAGGAAATCAGCTGCTTCCCAGCCACGGATGCAATTGCAGCTCTTGGTGTTACAGCTTTATGAGCAGGGGCTCGTCTCTGGCCTTTGCCAAATGAGTAATTGCAATTGGATAAACTAAAACCGAGAATAACTAAATAAATTTAATACATGAAAAAAAGATTATTATTACATACATATTGTTTACAGTGTAGTATGGTAATATGCATGCCTCTTTGCTAACAATTTACAAGATCTACTGGCAGGCTCGATACAATAACATCAAAGGTAAAATTATTTAGACTGCCAATGAAGCTTGTAATTTAATTTCTAGCCCTGTACCATGCAGCTACAGGCCCTATAATGATCTGTGCATGTCCTCTGATGACAATGTCACAGGTGTGCCCGATACTCGCTGTTCTGCTTCCTACATTTATAATTACAGAAAACGCCAAGTTACCACTAGAAGTTAATTACAGTAAGGATGAAATAAAGGGTAATGTAGGGAAATCATCTTCTTTTGGTTTAGTCTGTGACATCAGCTTAGGACCCCTGTGCTGCTACAAACTGCCTATGATAGTGATGACATTGCTGTGCCTAAGCGGCCTCCTAGGAGACTTGGAACGTAGAAATGGAGATGGTAAAGCTCCTTTTTCAAGGTTTTTGTGTGAACTTACAATATTGGCGCGAAAAGAGCAGAGCTCAACATCCGGGTATTTTACTTCTCTCGCTTTGCTAGGGAAAATTCAAATCTCAAAAAAGGGCGGACCCGTAAAGCTGCTGTACGCC